CTACAAAAAAAAAATTAAAAAAAAATAAAAAAAAGTTGGGTCGGGTGGGCACACGGCCTGTGTCCAGCAACTCAGATGGCTGAGGCAGAGATCACTTGAGCGCTGGAGGGTGGCGCTGCAGTGAGGCGGTGATTCACCACTACCACACCTCCAGCCTGGGTGAATAGAGGGAAGACCCTGCCTTCAAAAAAACAAAAATATGTGTGTCCTGGTATAAAATCCTGACAGTATAAAGTAAATTCAGTAAAAAAGTCTCTTCCCTAAACAATGTTTCCAAACTCCTTCTCCCCTCTCCTCAGAAACAAATGCTATCCAAAGGTTGTAACATCTTTCTAATTGTTTTTTCTTAATATTCTTTTTTATTAGGTATGGACTCCATACTGGTAAAATTCACCAATTTTTTTCTTTTTTTTGAGAATGGAGGTCTCACTCTCTCGCCCAGGGCTGGAGTACAGTGGCGCCATCCCGGCTCACTGCGGACTTCTGCCTCCCGGGTTCAAAGTGATTCTCCTGGCCCCAGCCTCCCAAGTAGCTGGGGATTACAGGGCACCTGGCCACCACGCCTGGCTAGTTTTTGTATTTTTGGGTAGAGATGGGTTTTCACCATGTTAGCCAGGCTGTTCTTAAATAAAATTCACTAATTTTAAGGGACCACAGTTTGATAAGTTTTTATAAATGTATGTCCCCACATAACCACCACCCAATCAAAATAAGTAACATTTTCATCATCCCAAGAAAGTTCACTCCTGCCTCCTCCTTTCCAGTCAATCCTACTGGATGTAATCACTGTTCTGGATCCATGGATTATTTTTGGCTATTATTTACTTGATATAAATGAAATCATTACAGTTTATAATCTTTTGTATCTGCTTTTTTCTCCCAACACGGTGTTTTGGAGATTCATCCTATTGTTGCATGTATTCGTTGCTTGTGCCTTTTTATTACCTGTAGTATTCGGTTGGCATGAATAAGTTTCCATTTGGCTTATCTGTTCACCTGTTGATGAACATGTGAATTGTTTCCATTGAGGACCATTATGGAATAAAGCTTACTTTAAGCGTTTTGTGTACAAGTCTTTTTTGTGAACATGTGCTTTCACTGCTTTGTGCAAATGCCTAGAAGTGGAATTACTAGTTTGGAATGCTAATTTAGATATTTAACTTTATGTGAGGTTGCCACATCACTGTCCAAAGTGGTTGTACCAGTTTACACTCCTACCAGCAATTTATAAGAATTCCAGTTGTGGCCGGGTGCGGTGGCTCACGCCTGTAATTCCCGCACTTTGAGGGCCGAGGCGGGGGATCACAAGGTCAGGGAGATCGAGGACCATCCTGCGAACACGGTGAAAATCCCGTCTCTACTAAAAATACAAAAAAAATAGCCAGGCATGATGGCGGCGCCTGTGAAGTCCCAGCTACTGGCTGAAGCAGGAGAATGGGTGAACCCGGGGAGCGGAGGCTGCAGTGAGCCGAGATCGTGCCACTGCACTCCAGCCTGGGCTACGAGAGCCAGACTTTGTCTCAAAAAAAAAAAAAAAAAAAAAAAGAATTCCAGTTGCACAGTATTCTTTGCCAAACTTTGTTTGTCAGTGTTTTTAATTTTAGCCATTCTAGGTGTGTATGGATCATTGTGGTTTTAATTTCCATTTTTCTGATGGACTAAGGCTCTTTTCATGTGCTTATTGGCCATTCACGATATTTCTTTTTTTTTTTTGAGATGGAGTCTTGCTCTGTCACCCAGGTGGAGTGCAGTGGACTCGGTCTCAGCTCACTGCAACCCGCCTTCTGGGTTGGAGCAATTCTCCTGCCTCAGCTCCCAAGTAGCTGGGACTACAGGCGCCGCCACCACACGTGGCTAATTTTTGTATTTTTAGTAGAGACGGGGTTTCACCGTGTTAACCAGGATGGTCTCCATCTCTTGACCGTCGTGATCTGGCCCGGCCCTTGGCCTCCCAAAGTGCTGGGATTGCAGGCATCAGCCACCACACCCGGCCCACATATTACATACATACTAGTATATATATATATATAAATTTTTTTCCTGAGACAGAGTCCACTGTCGCCCAGGCTAGAGTACAGTGGTGCAATCTCGGCTCACTGCAAGCCTGCCTCCTGGGTTCATGCCATTCTCCTGCCTCAGCCTCCCAGTAGCTGGGACTACAGGCACCTGCCACCACACCTGGCTAATTTTTTGTATTTTTAGTAGAGATGGAGTTCCCATGTTAGCCAGGATGGTTCTCGATCTCCGACCTCGTGATCCACCCCTTGGCTCCCAAATTTGGGATTACAGGCATGAGCCACCGGCCTGGCCACCACTCAATGTTTTAAATGGGCAAAAATATTTGTACAGATACTTAACAAAAGAAAATATGGTGGCCGGGCTGGGCATGGTGGCTCAGGCCTGTAATCCAGCATTTTGGGGAGCAAGGCGGGTGGATCATGACGGTCAGGAGATCGAGGACCATCCTGGCTAACCAGTGGATATCCTCTACTATAAAATACAAAAAATTAGCAGGGCATGGTGGCAGGTGCCTGTGTGGCTCTCCAGTACCGGAGGCTGAGGCAGGAGAATGGCATGAAGCAGGGAAGTGTGAGCTTGCAGTGAGCTGAGATCACGCCACCGCACTCCAGCCCTGCGGTGACAGTGCGAGATTCCGGCTCAAAAAAAAAAAAAAATTGAGTGGTTTTATTATTGGAGTTGTAAGAATTGCTTACATATTTCGGATACAAATTCTTTTTCAAATGTATGTACTTAACGACTATTTTTCCTCCTCCTCCTAGTCTTTGGCTTGCCTTTTCATTTTCTTAATGGTGTCTTTCAAAGAACAATGATTGTAATGGAGCCCAGTTTATCCATTTCTTCTTTTATGGTCAGTGCTTTTTGTGTGTCACAAGAAATCTTTGTCTACCCATAGAACTACCTTGGTGCCTTTGTCAAAATCAATCGGTGGATCTGGATGATCTGTTTATGTCATTTATCTGTGTATCTATTCTTACACCAATCCCCACTGTCTTCATTATTGTGGCTTTGTAGTGTCTTGAAATTCAGTATTGTTAAGTTCTATAATCTTTTCCAAGATTGTTTTGACTATCAGGTCCTTTCTTTATAAAGTTTATATTAAGCTTGTGAATTTTTCTTTAAAAAAACGTCTACTGGGATTGTGATTGGGATTGCATTGAATTTATAGGTCAATTTGTGAAGAATTGACAAATAATATTGAACCTTCCAAACCATGGACATGGTATATGTCTCCATTTATTTGGGTCTTTTAAAATATATCTCAGCAATGTTTTGTAGTTTTAGTGACGAAGTCTTGTACATCTTTTGTTAAATGTATTCCTAAATATTTTGTGGTTATGCTATCGTAAATAGTATTTTTATTTCATTTTTAAGTTTATTGCTGGCATGTAGAAATGCATTTTATTTTTGTATATTGATTTGTATCCTATAATCTTGTTAAATTCAGTTTGGTTAGTTGTTTTCATTTTGTTGTAAATGCCTTGTGTACACAGGATTCCCTATGCACATAACCACGTCATGTGTGAATAAAGACAGTTCTACTTCTTCCTCTCAATCTTTGCCTTTTATTTCTTCTTGCCTTGTTGTATTGGCTAGGACCTTCAACCTAATGTTGAATAGAAGTGGTGTGAGTTGTTATCTTTGTCTTGTTCGTGACATCAGGGGACAGCATCTAATTTTTCACTATAAAAGTATGTTAGCTGTGGGTTTTTTTCATAGATGTTTTTATCAGGTTGAAGATCCCTTTTATTCATATATAGTTTGCCCAGAGTATCATGAATGGGTGTTGAATTTTGTCACTTTTCCTGTATTTATTGAGATTATCTTGATTTTTCTCTTTAATTTTGTTAATGTAGTTTGTTACATCAACTAAATGCTCTAATGTTAAACTAATCTTGCATTTTTGGTATAAACCCTACTTGGTCATGATGTATTGTCCTTTTTATACAGTGCTGGATTCAGTTTGCATCTGTTTTGTTTGATTTTTATATCTGTGCTCATGAGAAAGATTGGTCTGTGATTTTCCTTTCTTGTAAGTCCTATCAGGTGTCAGGGCTTAGTTGTAATTTTGATGCATTTACAAGCATATACATTTTTTACATAAAAATTAAACATTATACAGAGTGCTTTGTATCTTGGCTTTTTTCCATCATATATATCTCGGACATCTTTCTATATAAAACATATAGGTTTAGTTTTTTTCTTTTTAGTAGCTAATTAGTATTTCATGCTATAGGTATGCCAAAAAGTATCAGAACAAATCCCGATTAAAGGACATTTAGATTGTTTCTGATCTTTCACTATTGATTTTTCTGTTTATAGAATCAATACATGCTTATTGCAGAAAACATGAATGATACTTAAAAGTATAAAGAAAACAAATCACTCATATTATCCCAAAGCCCTGGGATAATTAGTTTTAAAATATATGTTTCAAAAGTCCAATTCCTTCCCCTATCATTTGACTAGAATGAATGACAACAGAATGACAACATCAAGAGATATTAAAACCCTGTTTTTCTTCCTGTATTACTCTAAGAAGAGTATTTACTAAGAGGTGATGCAGGCCGGGTGCGGTGGCTCAAGCCTGTAATCCCAGCACTTTGGGAGGCCGAGGCGGGTGGATCACGAGGTCAGGATATCGAGACTATCCTGGCTAACATGGTGAAACGTCTCTAACTAGAAACATACAAAAAACCCTAGCCGGGCAAAGGTGGACGGCGCTGTAGTTCCAAGCTACTCGGAAGGCTGAGGTTGGGAGAATGGCGTGACACCCGGG